CTCATAGGGCAACACAAGCTTCGCACCCCAGATTCCAAATTTTGCAAGACAACCTGTGCACTATCAAAGGCCATGTCAGGAGATCACCTGCTGCTCCAGGAACTTGGTAACTTTGATTTATTACCTCCTCTGATTTGGTTGATGTACAACTACCTCAGCTCCATCATGTCTACAATTATGATACACATGGGCCCACCCATCTATATTTTATACCACCCTCGGCCCACCCGTCTAATACAACATCCCATACAACACCCTCAGCCCACCCGTCTAATTAATATGTGTCTGGGCCCACCCATCTAATACAATATTTTATAATACCCTCAGCCCACCCATCTAATTTAATATGTGTCTGGGCCCACCCGTGAATGTGATAACAAGTACCTACCCATCTATTTCATACACATCTACCTTAATACACCCATCTGCATAATATCCAACTACCTCGGCCCACCCGTCTACCTAATATTCATGTACATCGGCCCACTCATCTACTCTATATATTCCCTGCATGGGCCCACCCGCCTCCATCGGGAATAATTTGCCTCCCGGCCCATCCGTCATAGTCAAGGATATTTTTATCATGGGCCCATGGTCCGCTGGCCCGTATCATACGGGATATTATGCATGTCCGTTCCCTCATATTATACGGAGATAGGTCACTGTAATATGTGTCATACCAATCCTATAAATAAATTAAGCGGCTAGGAGATGATTAGAGTATATCACATACCTTGTGTGGGTAAAGACCAGTATTATCAGTAAGCCGTGCAATTGCGTGATAAAACTCGTAACCGGATGCCTTAGACTCAAAGGACAATAGATGGTACTGTTCAAGAATTTGAACGTGGCTGCCATTCAGGGTTCTGATGTAGTTGCCGGAAACCAAGCTGCACGAAGTAGCTGCATTGTATGTGTCTGCGCAGTGTCGCAACCACAGTAATCAAGCCCAATTTCGTGTATACCATTGGTGTGAATTAGTGTGAAGTCGTCATTAAATGCCTGTCGGGGTAATAGGCACTCCTCTCCAATCGGATGGCCAAGTTGTACCCGTAACCTGAGCTGTTTGAGTGACAGAGCAGCAAATGAAGATCCTGTCCATTTCTGCACAAACATAAGTATGGTCAAGGTGATAAGTACAGGAACTTGCCTGAATCCGATGGAGGGGATTCCTGGTGTGCAAAGCCACAATACATACTGAGCAAAACAATTCCCCGCTGAAGCAATCAATGCACCGGTATTCTGGGAGGCCGAAATGGCAATTTCCACAGACACAAAGGTTCATGTAGTCGCCCCGTCCATCATGCCGCAGAAGCTCGAGTAGGAATGTGTCACGTTCAGCTTTCCATGATAGAAGAGGATGATCCTAAGCATGGGGTTCAAAAGAGTTGCGGCATAGAATAAAATTAGTAACTTACACCAGCTGTGCGTTTGCGTTTGCGATTATCTTCAGTCTCCAAACATTCAGTCTCTATGTCTGCACCAGTAAAATCTGAAAAGTTGTGGTTCATGTGTGAGTCGGTCATTAACGAGTTCATTGCTTCGGCAAATTGGATTGAAGATGTACTAGGCTTCATGGTGACATGAGATCTGTGTGCTGTGAACCCTTGTTTTCGAGAGATAAAGGTGTATGTCTCGTGAACACTGCTTGATGCCTTTGGAAGCTGAGGGGTATAGATATTGACCTTTTTCTGCTTTGCTGCAGCACGTCTATTAACTTTTGTGAATGACAGATGTCGAGGGATTGGCCCAACTTGAGAAGTGACAGGTTCTGAATGCATAACTTAAGCCATGAGAAGAATAGTTAATATGAGCCAGTTAAGGCAACTAGGAGGAACTCGACACTACTGTAGAGCCCTGCTGGCATGCGCTGTTGCTGAGTCATCACCGAAGTGAACACAACTGTCAACTGACAATTGTGTTAGTAACGAAGAAATGCATTACTTTCAAATAATGCAACACGTCAAGTAATGCAATAATGCAATACGTCGAGCAATGCATTACAGGCTCATTGCGCTGCCTTATAAATGGGCCTGCTGGTTAGTATTCCCTCACTGTGTCTTTCCTCACATTTACTCTGATGTCTGAGTCTCCAGGCTCAAGACCTGTGCAACGCTTCAAGTCAGGAGGATCTCCGTCACCTTCCAGTGATCCTGGATACTGTCTGTACCACTTTTGCATGGTTCTGTGCGGGCCTGTGCCTTTTCCTTAAACCTCATTGAGTACAGCCGCAATTTTTTCAGTTGTTCAAGATATCGAAGATGGTCAGAAATACTCGACGCTGGTTGGTCCAGGAGTGCTGCCCAGGCCTCATGCACAGTGTGAGGAGTTTTCCCAACACCTCTACAGAAACTGATTGTTCACCAGGTTGTCCTGCGCTATCTGTTGCGTACACTCCACCATCAACCGTTGGTTCATCGACTATTGCACCAATACCCCCACCGTTACCTGATTCACCACTGACAAGTGCTACTGGCGCAATTTTTCGGTTACCTGAAACTTTACCACTCACTGTCACACCCTACTTTGCTGGGGAGGCAGACGCAGATGTCAGGTGGGTCAAACGTGACCAAGCTTTATACAAGGAACTTGTCGGTGCAATCGCCAATGATTGCTATGTATACCTGTACCATGAGATCCTCTACAACATGCCTGCAGTGCCTGGCAAATCTGGACCCTATTACTGCGTCACTCGTGGACGATACATTGGTGTTTTCAATCACTGGTAAGTCGGTTCTGTCTGATATCGCACACACTCACTGAGCACTTGTATCTAGGGATGAAGTTGCGGAAAACATTGAAGGCTTTCTGATGTGGTTTATGCCGTTACTTCGCTCACCGTTGGAGAAGTACTTCTTCGCGCTGCAATAAAGAAGGGTGAAGTACGCAATTATCAAATATGAACCTAGCACATCAATTTGTCACAAAATTCAAGGACCACAAGCTTGGTATATCGTTAAAGGCTTTTCGTTTCGATAATATCTCTGAACCAAGGCTATATATCTCTGTTTCGGTGAGTTGACACACTAATTATATTTTACATCATGCTCCCAGGTCCATTTGCTTCGGCTATCATACAGTATACATTGCGGCTCAATCTCGGCCCCTTAGACTCTCTGACTCTCCTTCATTCGTGTGGTCTGAACCAAATTTTCATAAGTCCGTTCGTTATTTATAGTTTCGACTCACCTCGAAGTGCGCTCACACTAACGTGCCCCCCTGAGCCCCAGCATATATTCGAGTTCCACCATCTCCATCTCGAACACGCGCCTCTCCCTCGTGACCCAAAGTATGAGCATTGCGCGTGCCTCCTCTGACCAGAATGGTGGTGGTGGGTGTGGCATCAACGGTAGGTCAGGGTGGTACAGCTGCTGGCGGACGTGCATTTGCACGACAGCCCACTTGGCATATAACAAGTCCTTCGAGGTGAGATGTCAGTAACGGCTCGCAAACGCAGAAGATACTCACCAATTGCCTTTCCGACATCGTGAACCTCATCTCCCTAGGTCTCCGTGCGTGTTGCAGGGCAGGGATCTCCACATCAAATGGTAAGTGATTGACACAAGAACAATCAATACACGATGCACCTCACGATTGCGGTCCTGGTCAACTCCTCCATTAGCATTTGAATAGTAGTTCATTGTGTACTTGTAGATGTAGTTGAACGTAGATGGATAGTCGAAATAAATGAATATTCTCACTTTTGTGTTGTGATTCCGGCATTTTCCGGATTTGCAAATAACACCATTGTATACAAAGTACTACATTAGCTAACTGTAAATTTCTCCCCGACTTAAGTATTTAGGACCAGGGCTCGAGTGCTGCACTCGAAGTTTATAATATATAAGTTGTAACTTACGACGGTCACGGTGTCACATGAGTGACCGTTACACTCTGCCGCTACTTGAATGTTCGAACTGCAATTAATATTGAAGCGCCCATATAAGATGCTGGAGTGTTACGACCAGGTGTATCAGTATCCTTGAGAAGCTTGTTGGCAGCTCATCGTTCTTTCTTGCCATGGGCACGGTCAATGAGTTCTTGCAAATCCTCGCCGTCCTCCACAGCCTAAATTCCCAGTCAGCATGCATACCTCGCAACATCCTAAAAGATGTACCATCGCCCACTGCTCATCACTCAGACCATCATTATAATTGACGACATTACAATGGCGCTGACCACGGCCCTCAATGGCATCATCAATTTCCTTCGGCTCGAATGGTTCATCCGTCTGATAGCATTCAGGTAGCTCTTCAAGCTGCATGAGCGGCAATGGCGGTTTCCCCCTGTTTCCGACTGCACGCCACACGTCTAATGCATCCCGTTCTCGCTGGAGATCCATCTTGCGGAAAATCTCAACCTCCTCATTGTTTCTCGCCAACATCTCGTTAAGTTCATTGTCGTTCATGTCACTGGCTTCTTAACTGGGTGTCGTTAGCGTTGGAATGTTTGACGGAGGGGTATATCACCGAACTTGACCCAGAGTGGCAAATCAAAGTAGGTCGCCAATTGTAGCTTATATATGTTAGAATGTTAGAATATCTGTAGTCAAAAACTCGCTGTTCTCAATATACATGGTCTTACACGCTGCAACATTTTGGGCTTGATCACATGTTTGTATATACACATACTAGACTCTCCCAGTCGACGAATTCAACACAAAGTCTCCCAACTTGGGTGGAGTCTAGACTAGTCCATAGTATCAGCCGCCGGCTGATACTATGGGCATGTCCGAATGACCTGAACTAGCATCAGTAAACCGGTGAGTCCTTGCTAGGGATTATGCTGATCATGGTGCTTTTACATAGTCATATATTGCTTTATATTTCCAATGTGACGAAAAGTTTTCCTATATATTACGATACATAACGATATATGACGATATCTTCTTCTCACAGGAACGGCACCCGCCTGCCCACCTCAGTCATTGTGCAATGCTTTCGAAGGTCCCTGCTGGTCCTGCATAGTATGCAATTCATACTTTGTGAAGAGGTCTAATATCAGATTATTCATGCATTTGACCTACAGCTGATAGCATCTTTCGATCAATGTTCAATAGAGCTCAACAGTTTGCTCACATTCCGACTGATATGACTTTTCGAAACGACTACTATGGTGGGTACATGATGCTTGTCCGGGGTTCCCACTATTTAACTCATCTAATATATATGGACTCCTAGAGCATTCAAAGATCCCAGTCTCCTTTATGAGGGCAAGTCTCTTCACAACTTTTGTCATCGCTCTTGCCATCAATTTTGCCGCATTTCTGTTCTCTTGGTTGAAATTGAGTTCCCTGGTGAGCTCGATAATCCCTAAGCTAGGATCGCTGCAGACAAAAGATGAAAGCCAGATTTCGTAACCTCGAACACATAACCACTGCACTTAGACTCCATGATATCAGCGTCATGGGACAGAAACTTGCTTTCTATTGCATGGACAAATCAAGTGGCTGCAAAGTCCCGAATCTTCAAGAACAGGCGACATACCAATCGAATCGTCGGAGCTGGACATCATGACGGAAGCCGGGCATCATGTCATTTGACCCGAAGATCAGCTGGACAACATGTCTTCTTCTGGCCATACTATTCGATATTCTCAAAGTTGTCGAGAACGATGTTGAGGTTGATTCCTCATCGGGCATGATCGTGTATGCCACATCTTATCACGTCTGGCACTGGTCTAGATACTCACATTTACAGCCATCCGAAGCCCTTCAAATGTTCTATTAAGTCTGTTCTGGTAGATGGAAACGGGCAGATCATCAACAGTGTCTTCTGATTCCACAGAGATCGGCACAAACCACATAAGGTGTAGCATTCATTTGAAAGGTAATCCAGAGTGCTCTGGAACGCTCTAGGCTAGGTCTGGAATGGTCTAGCCAGGTCCAGATCTGCTTTTGATTGAAATATTGCAAGAGGTAAAACGTTGAAACCCCTGATGTATTGCCTCCATGCACTCATATCCACCAAACAGCCCTTCAAGTTGTTGTCGCCTTTCCCATGCAGCTTTAGTACAAGCTATTTCAGACTCTAACTTTCATAGTTGTAGGTAAATGGTGAGTTTGCGATCCATTCGATACCTCCGCTCTTGTCGCTCATCAACTATGTTTGTTCAAGACACCACATCCGGTTCTTCCCTCAGAACAGGTATGTCACTCAGTTACCTTCATTTGGTATCTCTCCCTCCATGCTTCCATCATCCGCACCAAGTACATTTGTCATTTCATTCACGCTCATATTGAAGGAGGTACTTTGTTACAATCTTTTTTTTTTAATTTGCGCTTATATCAAAGAACCTAGTGTATAATGTATTTCATCCAGACCACACAGTAATGCGAAAAGACTGGAATTTTTTTACAAAGGTCTGATGAACCTACACAGTAACACGAAACCTTAATTATCGGACATTCGACTCATACATGGTAGTATAAGATACAAGTCCATTTTCCATTTCAACACCAGTCGCTCACCCTTAAAATCGCCCCCTTGATAATTCCCCCTCAAAGCAATTTCTTACTGCAATGCCTCGTCAAGGCCCAAAATCTTGGACTGCTCTTGAGGAGGAGGTCTTCCTCCAAAGTCAGCTCCCTGCCTATATTGCCTGTCAGGCGACAAAGGTTTACCACAACTTTTGGAATGCTACGATCCACAAATTTTTAAGCCGTTGGCCGGAAAGAGCACGTCTAACTGATATCCCACAGGAAGGCGAGCTCAGTGATATACAGAAGTCTTGCGTGGCACAAGCTATCCTGAAGCAACAATCTGTGAGTTGCATAATTACATCATGATACGCGTACCTTGTTGAAAAAAATTCTAGGCCATTAAAAACTGGTTTCGATGGCGTACAAATGTTGCGCGTCTGGCCCGCTCGGGCAGGTCTCATGGTGTCTTACGGCTCGATACCACACTGGCTGGAGATGAAATGAGAGGGACACGTGCTCCACAGGAAGTCGAGATTTACTCACAAATGCATTATGAAGGTCGGGTCAAAGCCGAGGCTGATGCTTTGATTGCCTCTGAGACCGTCACTTCACGTGGCGACAAATTGTCAATGCGAAGGATTGTCACCTGTGATAAATATGCAAAAGAACCTGAAGAAATCAAAGCAGAGGTAAGGCGAAGGCACCAAGTAGCCCTAGAGAAGTGGAGACACACTCGCGAGCTAAACAAAGCTGGGATCATTGA